AAAATTATTTACTATAAAGAGATGTTTTATAAGTAGAATCTTTAAGTACATAACTCAAAATTATTTACTATAAAGAGATGTTTTATAAGTAGAATAAATTGTACTTTGGAAAAGAAAACAATATACAAACAACTGAAGTCTAGGTGACATTGACCCCTTAGTTTAGATGCTGAAGAAGCAGGTTTTGGAGGGAAATGATAGCAATTTTAGTTAATTGGGTTTGCCTGTAAATACCAAAGTGCAGATTCCAACAGGCCACTGAATTAGTGGAACTGGAACATAGGAGAAATCACTGGTCTAGAAATCTAAATTGGAAATTGAGATCCTCTTTCAACAATGGTGGACAAAATAATTTCTCCAATCCCTGCGATGAAGAAAACCATAACTGTTGAATGAAATACTTTTTTAAAAATCAAATAAATAGCAAGAAATTATTGATGTGAGAGCTTGAAAGGACAAGAAAGCAGAGAGGCAAGACCAATAGAACACTTTCCCCCTGGAGTCATTTGATGATCCAGAATTGGTGGCAGAAAATAGGCCATGTGGTAGGTACATGAGGCAAAAATTGAAACCCAAATGTCCCCAAAGGTAAACCACCTTTCTGTTTGGGATTAGGGAGCTGAAAGATTGCACTCCTGGGGGACATCATGGAAGGGTAAATCAGAAAAGAATAGCAAATCCAGAAGCAAAATATTGAAAAACCAAAATTAAAAACTAGTAGATTTAATAGCAAATTAGACTTGACCAAGGAGGGAATAGTGAATTGGAAGAAAGAGCAGAAAAATTACCCAGAGTGAAGCATGGATAAAAAGAAATGAAAAACATAGAAAAGAGGGTTAGAGACACAAAGGACAACATGGGAAAGTCTGGCCCTATTATTATTTGGAGCCCAGGAGAGGGGAATCTAATAAAGTAGAAGTAATGGCTGAGAATGTTTCAATAATAGATGAAATACATTTAGCCACAGATATAAGAAGTTCAGCAAATCTGAAGTAAACTTAAGAAAATCTGTATCTGGACCCATCACAGTGAAACTTTGGGAAATTTTATCAAAGACAAAACCTAAAAAAAAAAAAGGCAAAACTTTAAAAATGGAAAACAAGAAGACTGATTATCTTTGAAGGAGCAATCATTAGATTGATGACTGTTTCTATCACAGGAAAAAATAAACAGTAAAATAATAATGTAAACGTATTTCCAGGAAATAATTTCCAACCTAGAATTTTATAGCCAATGAATATGTCCTTCCATGGGGCCTCCCTGGTGGTGCAAGAGGTTAAGTCTGAAGCTGTCAGCACGAGTTCAATTCCTGACCAGGGAGTTGACCCACATGGTGCAGCAGACCTCTCCTGTCTTGCCCGCTGCCCCCTTCAGCAGTGTATTTTTTTAATTATTATTTTGTAAAGATTATTTATTTATGCACACAAGAACTGGATACATCTCACCAACCCTTGCACCTCTGGCCTACACCCCAGTTCTTATACCTAAAAATTAATAATACATCTTAAAAGAAGAAAATGTCCTTAAGAAACAAAGATGAGGCCCTCTCTAGTGGTACAGTAGGTTAAAGCAGAGCACTGCAAGCTAGCCACAGCTGCTTCAGCATGAGTTCAATCCCTGGCCCCGGAGGTGATCCACATGGTGCAGCAGACTCCTCCTGACCCACCTGCTGTTCCCCATGAGCAGTGTACTTCAATCTGCCTGTTCTGCTCCCAGCTCTGTCTCTGGTGAATCCTCTCACTGCCTCTACTCTCTGGCCTGTACCCTAGTTCTGTATGCACAAATAAATCAATTAAAAAAAAGTGAGGGGCACCTGTGAGTATACAGATGTGTCTGCTCACCAACCTGTCCTTTTCAGGGGCAGTTTTTTCTGTCTGCTTGCGTCTGTGCAAGTTTCCTTTATTCTTCTCCCCCATTTTATAATAAAACTACCCTTTTGGATATAAAAACAAGCGAACACAAAGACAAAATAAACGCATTTCAAATAAACCCAACCACAAAGTTAGTCTCTAAC